GGGACAGGTTCTGGTGTGGTAGGGGAAGGACAGTTAGGACGGGAGGTGGTTAGGAGTGCATGATCGCCGCTTAGTCTGGGGTATTTGATAGAGGTGATAAGCGGCATCCCCGTAGTGACGGAGTAGTGGCGGAATTCCCTTTCCGCGTGGTGCCTTAGATTGCGGACCTGTGTGAATGTTCCTTCCCCGGGGGAGGGTCTTGAGCCTCTGGGGGGAATGTTATGTTTTAATCTTGTCCTTGTTGTATGTTTGTTTTGTGTGTGTTAAGTGAGCAGCGTAGCCCGCTAGGGGTCAGGGCTGGACTATAGAGGCAGTACTGGTCCCGTAACGCTTGCCTGTGCCCGAACTGTGGGGATTACTGGGTATTGCAGTGCTATTGGTGTGCCGTGCCCTGATGGGGATGTGGTGTGCTGTGGGATCCACTGTGTGGTAACGTGGGTTAACACGTTTGGAAGGGTTGGTTTGCTACGGGGAGGCAGCGGGGCCGAACCCTTTGTGAACCTAAACCCGACCCGATGGGTCGCTGCATGAATTGTACTGAATAAAATTATCTTTTGTAATCGTAGTTGAAGTCTTGTGGTGGTCTATTCTTCCTTTACAGCCTCTGATGCTATTGTAGGTTTATTACAATACATTAAGTGGGGGTAGCAGTATTACGGTTATGTATTCGCTATGTACCGAGGTTAACCAGTAGATGGTAGTACTGTTATATGATTGATGATTAGAGATCGTATAAAGTGGATGTATTTGTGTTATTTAGCTGAACGTGTCTCCATGTTCTTATTGTTTTAGTTATTTCTATAATATTACCTCCTTCCTTAGACCACATGCACACCCTGTCTACAACTAAGTCATTGCACCTGTAACAGCCAATGGCCAGCCTGTGTTAACTCCTGTGTAATGATGTACTGCCTAATTGAATGCAGTAAGGTTTGGACAAGGAATTGGACAAAAAAATGTGAATTTGAACTGCATGGTTCAATTTATTATTTTGTCTTGTTTGAGTAAGGTTGCTTTTTTCAGCGATAAATGCATTGAATCTGAACCTGTTTCTATAAAAGAATTATTGATAAAATCCTGCTAAGTGAGGCAGAGTGAAGACAGATATTGTTCATGGTGTTTTGCGTTTCATGATATTATGATTTTTGGGAGACTTATTTAACTTTCTT